ATTAACTGTACTTTAAGCGGAATAAGAAGGTAATTACGTGTATAATGTATTAGTTCGTATTACAACACCATGGTTCAGAAAATTGGTAACAATCCGGCCCAGTACAGCAAACAATCAACGTAGATAATAGAGGGTGAAAGCCGAATCTCGAATGCACAGGCACAGGTATCAGAATTTTTTTCGAACCCACAGCACATAATCGCCTAGTAGACGACAATCCAACTCGCTGCATTCAGTAAAAATAAATTTGATCACAGCCTTGAGTAATTTCAATAAACAGATTTATGACACTACGATGTATGATTAGTAAGTTTTATGCAACGTTTCGATATGTTTACCCTGCCATTTTCAGGTACAGACACACATCCAAACGCTACATACAATTTCGAGCAACCGTTCATGTTCAACCGAAAGTACAATTACTAATTAAAGAAAGACTTTAGTATAACGTTGTGGTTTGGACATTTTCCTGGTTTGTACATCTGAGCCACCCGCATGTATAAGTCTCTTACATATAGGAAATCTGCTGAATTCATTCAACGATAGCATCAAGCTAACTGACATTATTTTGAATTCAAGTGCAATCTAAATAAGTTGTTTTCCTCTATCTTACCATGGGACATGCTTTTACCATTGAGAAACTCAACGGCGCATTTTGATCACGTTTATAGTAGCAACAAGGATTGAAAAGGACTTGAACTCCGGATGAACGCAGAAATGTAATTTCCGTTATTAGACAGTATCTATGAAGGTAGGGTTTAGCAATAGGATTTAAAAGTCTGATTTAGCTTTAACAGTTTATATAGATAACTACTGCAATATAGCAAACACTAGTGGAATATTCGGAAATCGCTTAGGACAAAACAGGTTTGAATTATCTCATATTGTTGAAGAGGATATTCATTAACTACCTTGAAATGAATGGAGTTTTACGTCTACTTTTCTGCACTAGAAAAGAAGGAAGTTTGCCAGATGTGTCAGATAGAAAACGTCCATACTTATTTACTTTTAAATGGTTGATAAACCGAAAAGGGACACGTATGGATCTATTTTCTGTTATTTGTAAGAAGATAAAAATCGCAATGGCTATATAGCACATTAATATTTCAGAATTCACTATGATGACAAAAATTCATTTATTTTTCAGGCTTTAGAAACCAGTCAATACATTTTAACGATATCTTACAGAGGTGGCGTAACTTTTCTTAAAAGAGAACATCCGAGGAACGTTTAAGACGATACATTTAAAGTAGTAAGGAAAAGAGTTTTTAAATTTAGAAAATGACTGAAAGTCGAATCAACCAGTTCGGAGATACGGACGATGTAACCAAGATGACGGTAGAAGATTGGGAAAAACGATGGAAGCTTGAACAAACAGGCTTTCATATGGATCAAGTCCATCCGTAAGTGTTTTTCTTCTAATCTTTTGTTTCTTTATTTTGCTTTTCGGTGCCTGCCCGCAATGAATATAAACAACGGGGTTTCTTGGGGTCCAGCGATGCTGGTCAGAGGGGCTCAGAGGGGCTGGAAACGTCTAATCGTTTGGATGGAGCAATAAAAAGGGGCCCTGTGTGGTAAGGACTGTACTCATCAAAGACCCCATAAAATTGACCAAGGCAACGCCCGATTTGTTCAGACTTCTATAGACCAAAAACCGCTATCGTATCACCCCCTCCCCACTTCTCCCCAACTCATATATTTTATTTCAGCCGTCACCCTGTGCGTCTAATTTCAGAATGTTGGTGAAATATTATTCCAAATTAACCCGAGATAAACCGAAGTTGAGATTTTATTTACCTCTGTGTGGAAAATCCGTCGATTTAAAATGGTATGTAAGTTAAAACAAAACAAAAATTCCCTTAAACAATTCCATTAACCAAAATTCTCGTCTAGAGAATGACAAAATCGGGCGCAACAATTGTATATACTCCTCAAACGAAAAGTACCATCGTGCACGAGTAAGCACACAGGTATCGTTTTAGTGAACACATAACCTGCAAGGAGAAGGGTTCGGTGATGTACTGGTGTAGTGGAGGAAAGTCAGGAAGGGTAACAAAAAGGGCAAATTATATGATAATAAATATCATTGCCTGCCTTCAATTCCATATTGTATTTTCCAGGTTATCTGATAACGGACATGACGTAGTCGGATGTGACGGGTCAGATATCGGCTGTCAAGATTTCTTTAAAGAGAATTCTCTCCCTTACACTAGTGAAGCTTTACCAGAAAGCACTGGCGGCGGAGTTTTATATCAGGTAAGGTATTTGTAACGTAAATAGTTTTGGGGATGTTTTGAGCCACGTTCTACAAAAAAGAGAGGGAATAGAAGGAGAGTAGAGTATGCAAATCCTTAGTTATCTCCCTTGCATTAAAGCAGAAGATATCGACGATGGAATTTATAACAGGCAAGGTTTCAAGTTAGCAAATCTTCATAAAAGAAAACAAAAGCTGAGCTAACTTAAATTCTTTCGTTTTCAATATAAAATCGAATCTTTAGTTTTGGAAATAGACGTTATCATTCCTTTGTAGGACAATACAGGACATTGTCTTGTGTGGTTGACAATCTTAATGAAGGAGTGGTATCGGGAGATTGAGCAATAAGCATACCCCAGCCTCGCTACCCACAACTAATTATTATATATTTCAGAATAAAGAGAAGAATATCAAACTATACCGATGTGATTTTTTCAAACTTTCACCAGAGATTATTGGACAGTTTGATTGTATCTGGGACAGGGGATCGTTTGTAGCTATCCCAGTCACAGAACGAGGCAGGTTTGTATTTTTACCCAATCCCACCCCAGCAACCATAGAGTATCTGGGACAGGGGATCGTTTGTAGCTATCCCAGTCACAGAACGAGGCAGGTTTGTATTTTTACCCATCCCCACCCCAGCAATATAGAGTATCTGGGACAGGGAATCGTTTGTAGCTATCCCAGTCACAGAACGAGGCAGGTTTGTATTTTTACCCATCCCCACCCCAGCAACCATAGAGTATCTGGGGCAGAGGATCGTTTGTAGCTATCCCAATCACAGAACGAGACAGGTTTGTATATTGGCCATATCCCCTCCCCTATACGTAATTCTTACGTGGACGAATTGCTACAGATGGGGTCGACGTTGACACCATGTGATATACCCTATAAATAATTTCAGATATGCTGAGTTAATATTACAGTCATTAAAACCCACTGGTCGCTATCTGCTGGACACATTTCAACTTCCCCATCAAAACTATCAAGGCCCGCCATTTAATACAGAGGAAGACGAAGTCAACAAGTATTTCGGTGAGTTTTAGAAGTCAAAGGTTGTGATCATACATATCTATTGAATAAATATATATGAACCGGCTTGTAGTACAGTCGGTAATAGCGTTGAAATGAACTCATTGGCTTGGTAACGCCAACAAATGGTTGTCGGTCGTGGGTTCTAATCTCGGTCAGTGAGTGAAAGTCGGGTGGCCTTAAAAAAGCCTTTTATCATTATTGCACTCGACCCAGCTGTAAGTGGGTACGAATTTATAGGGAAAGATCAATACCAAGGGGTTTTACCAAGGACCAGCTGATAGAACTGTGAACCTAAGTTGTTAACCTTGTAAAAGCAAAATGGTTCGGTGTATTTCTTAAACTCTATATTAAGTTTCTAAGCACAGTAGGCCTAAAACGTTTTTTTAAGATTCAGACAAGTAGGATGTAAAACTCAGGATTGTTATTTCTAATTTTACAGGTCAGAAATGTACGATAGAGAAGCTGGCAGTGAACAATGTTTTTAATCAGAAACATCTAGAACAGTGGAAGGTGGAATATTTTAATGAAATTGTTTACTTACTAACTTCCAAATAAAATTGTTGTCGTTTTCTCGATGTGTATTTTATTTTCATTTCGAACAGGAATTTCAATTGAATAGAGGTCTAACTATTATTAACCTAACAGTTGTTTCTCCATGCTTTTCGTTACAACGAAGTTGGATGTCTACATCTAGAAACATAACAACAACTTCTAGGCGTGTAGTCTTTTAGTCATCTTAGTTCTGTGGCTGTATCCGACTTCCGGTACCCTGCTCGGTGGCGCCATCTTTAGGGGCAGATAACCCGAGTTCGATTCCCATTAAGTGATAATCGTGTCATCTTGTTTCCCTTTTCTTTGACGAAAGAAATTATTTTGATTTACCCGTATAACTTATCACAATCCGACTTTTGGGATTCACAAGCTTTTAATCGCTTCATTCCGATTCCTGGTCTTTATCATATTCTGGCCAGCTTTTTTTTGGAACTACATGACAGGCACGTAATAAGCCCAATGTGCCATGGAAGGCAATAGCTAATAGAGACTGATTTCAGCTTCGAATTTTGCAGGGGAAGTCAATATATTTCTCCCCCCACCCCTTTTCTTTAGTTCTTTAGCTACATGAATAGACATTGTAGGGGAAAAACGAAATGTTGCAGGACATAAGGCTATAGAACTCACTGTTGAGGTAGCCTGGCGGTAAAAAGAATAACAGTTATTAGGTATGTTATAAGTAGGCCTATATAAATAGCCTAATATATATAAACTAAGAGTACAGGTATAATAAAGAACTATTATATATATTATAGGGTATTTATTACAGTCTGGTATTTATAATACCCTATCTTATATACCCTAACATTTTATTATTATTATATTATTCGTCTTGAAAGAGATTCCGAGTTGACAAACCTACATACAAAATAAACATCATTGGCTATGTGGACTCTCTGAAAGAGATTCCGAGTTGACAAACCTGTATACCAAATACACATTATTAGCTATGTGGACTCTCTGAAAGAGATTCCGAGTTGACAAACCTAAACAACCAATATAAATTACAATGTATTAACCATGTGGACTAACAAATCTAAATAAACATTGGTGTATTAGTGGATACTCCAAAAGTAATGCCGAGTTGACAAACCTGTATACCATATACACATTATTAGTTATGTGGACTCTCTGAAAGGGATACTGAGTTGACAAACCTGTATACCAAATACACATTATTAGCTATGTGGACTCTCTGAAAGGGATATTGAGTTGACAAACCTGTATACCAAATACACATTATTAGCTATGTGGACTCTCTGAAAGGGATACTGAGTTGACAAACCTGTATACCAAATACACATTATTAGCTATGTGAACTCTCTGAAATCACAATTTATCACAGTCTATTTGGGGAAGTTTCTGGAGTTGCAATCTGTCAATGACATAGGTATATACAGGTATATAGTATCAGTGGTACCAGGTAAGATACACCTGTAATATAGATCACACTAATACAATCGATCTGATAATCGGCTTACGGCAGATACACTATATCACAACTCTTATTGGTTACCAAGAAATATGTAACAGTATATTGATATGATACCGAGACTAGGTCAACATTAAGATATAAGATTGCATCAGCTCCTTCATGGTCACCATCTATATCATCGTATCACGAATACGGGTTTTGACCTGGTCTTATTAACGAGGAAGTATGACGAATGGGGTGTTGTTTGGACACGGTGCATCTCTGAGTTGGTCTCGGGTATACAATGTATTGGGGTAGTCTTGGGTTAGGTATACGCCCATTGTTTTTGAATTTACTGCCACACGGGTGGATTAAACCTTCTTCTTTTCCCATTAATGATCGGACGAAATTACATTTACATTGTGTTCAGTCGAATTTTGTCATTGATAATGACCTAGAACACATTGAGTAAATAGTCTATTTCAGTATTTAATGGTTGTTTAAAAAATTAGTGAAAACAGTCAACACATAACCTCAAGTCAAGACGAAATTCTAAAAAAGGCATTTTCCCCTCTCCCAATTGAGTTTTTCGAACAGTAGATAATAGATCAATATTAATTGATAGATTTAGTGTTTACCTGACAACACTGGATCAGTCACTAGGTCAATATCGATTGATTTTATAGATAGAAATTGGTAAATAGCCATCATTATAGTTCGATCATCTTATTGATTTGTTTACTGTATCGATTAATTTACCCATCTCTACAGTCAAACGAGACATGTTCATCCTCTAGCTAGTAATATTAAAGGCATTGTAAAGAGGTTTTCTAAATTGTGTATGTGTATCGGGGACACTGATAGCATCATCTTGCACCATTTCAATTCTCAATCAAACTTCTGTGTTTCGTGCAATTTGCGATATTGAAGCTTTGTTTAAGTGGACTGTAAGAACCACAGACGTCTGATTGAAAATTGGAATTGAACAAATTGATGCTATCAGTATCCCAGATACACATAAAAAATTAAGAAAACCTCTTTACAATCTCTTTAACACAATGACAGTTTTATGTGATTAAAATGCTTCCAATCTGAAAATATGATTTCCTTCACAATACTGGATCACAAGTTGGAAATGAATTAATAAAAGCTGAAGTCTTTAATTATAAAAAATTATTACAATGACGTGAATTGATCATTCTAGATCAAAAATTAACACGTGTGCGTTTTCAAATGGATTATTTAAATCTAGTGAGCCATTATTCGATTTACTATAGTTTGAAATACAGGATTTATCTTCAACAATAGGGCTATAAACGGATTATCTAGGCCGTATAAACGTATTAAATCCTCTTTCACACCACAAGTCAAAGATTGGATTAGAGCAAGATTTAAATTTTATAGCAATTGGTCAACTAATGGATAGTTTATAGTTTCGAATAAAGAGCCATATTTCCAACTTGTCAAACAAGTCGAAGAGCTGAGGGCAACTTTGTTGTTAAAAATCGCCTTGTTATTTAACAACTGACAGACTTGGTAGAAATTGGTTTGAGAAGAAATATCCAGGCATCCATTGTTTTGATAAACAGTATACAGAGCGGATACGAAGGAATAAATTACAGTTTTATGTGAAAGGGATTAAAAACAGATACTGAAAGACCACTCGAAAGCACTGGTCGTAGTGATCTCGTCGTCAGAAGTGTTAACTAGGCTTAACAGAAGACAAACAGAACGGGTGCGACTAATTTGTAATTCTGCACAAAGCGGATTAAAGAGTTCAGTGACCGTTTTAAGAGTTATCCCCGACTGTCATACAAACTTAATCTGTATTGTATAATAATCAATCAGGTTTTAACGGTTGATTGGGGTTATTATAGCTACCGTATAGGACGACAGATTATTATAGTAGGCTCAATCATACCAGTTCGACAGTGTACAGTGGTTAGGTTGGTAAAGTGTTAGTTTTTAAAGCCGATCTTCAGTGGTTCGTGTGAGCGGCAGCATATAATTTCTCTTGGTTAGGGATATGTCGATGTTTTGTGTACCGTGTTTTGGAACAACTTTCTTTTCAACTTAAAAAAAAAATTGTCGGTGTTTTGTCGTTAGCGTCCGTAGGTCACATATTCTCATCGTTAGGGACAAGTTGGTGTTTTGTGTTGTGTGCACCATTGTATGAGAAAACAAACTACTTTTAACAAACAACTTACAAAATCGCGGTGTTGGTGGTAGATTTGAGTCCAAGTAAGTCCTAACTTCTCGACGTAAAGGATAGTAAATTTTTTTTGTCCTTTGCGAACCGGTTTTTGGAAGATTATAGGTTACGTATAGAAGGACTATTTTGTTTTAGAGTATTTGATTTGGTAGCCTTGAAGTTCAAATACAATCATTGTTTTCTGTTTGGTCGGCAACAGTGTACTTTTCATCTAAACTGTTTTGTGGATTTTCAGTGAACGCTTCAGAATTTATCAATTCTCAACGATAGGTACAAGTCGGTGGTCTGTGGTTTGAACGGTAGCTCGTTACTCGCAAAGTAAGGTTTTAGTTTAGTGTGAACATGGCTTTAACAGAGACCAGAAGTCTTAGCAATAGACTGAAATCACGATGCCAGTCAGCGCCTCTTCAGCGTCGACGAACTTTAGATGAATTTCCAATGAATTATTCCCGAATTGAGGCAATGGCCATGGCACAAAAATGGAGGAACAATAAGTTGCTGAAAAATGACAATATTTCCCGGATTACTGAAGAAAGTGACAATCTAAGAGAGTATGGCCGAAAAAGATTCGATTACGTGGTGAAAAGTGCTAAAGCAGACCTGGTGGCCAACCGGAAGATAAGTTGTGACCGACTTCCGGTGACGCCTTATAACGGACCATCACGTTACGGAAGTCCTCTTTATAATAAGACGCCATCTTTGTTGAGTACGATTCGTCTGCGTCCACAATCAGAATATGGATATACACATAAACCGCAAGAACACCCAGAAATCCAAAGAGCTCTCCTTCAGAGCAATGATGACTACAACCTTCGACTTAATCTGGATTCTGAATTGTCAGGAACGACAACTCCAGTAAGAACCATCACCAGTGATTACCTTTTCGTTCCAAAATCTACGTCTGCTAAAAGCATGCACGAGACTTTCAGTAACTGGACAGATTTGAATGACAGTTGTGTATCACCGGATTACAATCTATCCCAAACGATAATTACTTCTCCAAAACGACGTCTGTCATCTAAATTCTTGGATTATGTGTCTTCTGCCTCGTCGTCAACAACATCTGAATCGGAAATGCCTCAAGGTTTAACCTCCGGTACTGAAAATCCTGAAGAAAACAGCACGATCCCTCTCCAGTAAGTGTTGTTTCTATTCCCGGTCATTTTTCAAGACGTATAAACGAGAAACAGGGTCTGATCGTTTACCATTAGATAGAACCATCCTTAGGATTACACAACATAACCTCCCCCCCTCCCTCCCCTAAGAAAAAAACTGGCCTTGCCTTGCCAGCTATATACTTTATTATGTATATATTATACATATATATCAACCCTTTGAAATCGGATCGCTAATCCCTTCTTTGTTAATATCTTTATGCATTAATCTGTTTGGAATAAACACAATAAGTTTTATTTAATTTGGGTTAATTGTCCGACTCTATATAATATGATATATTCAATATAATAAACCTATGTTATGAGCCCTAAATAGAATGTTATATACATAACAACTATCTATCAAGAGAGAATATACAGTTTGTGTTCGTATTGCCTGGTCTTAGGGATTCAAAAGGGGTTTCGCACATTTATGTGAATCTGATAGATCGATAGCTTCTATTTGCACCATATGAACGCTATGAAGATTTTTCTGTGAAGTTTTTATGACCCGTATCCCCCTATCCCCCTACCTCCCCAACCCTGACTTATAACGTCACAATCAGATCTCGAAAAGGATATGTATTTTTATAGTCGAGGAAATATATTTAAGCATAACCTTGTTCATTCAAAACATAAACACGACTGGTCCAACCTTTAATACACCTTTTCGCAGAACGCATTTTCAGTACAACTTCTACAAAACTTTAGCTTACTTATATTTACTATTTTCAGGGTACCAGAAAGCTCCGATACCACACCACTTCCGGTACAAGAAGCCAATCTCAGTAACCCACCACCAGTGGAAAAGGAGCCCAAAGAGAAACCACGGCCTAGAAAATCCAGACGATCTCGTCCAAAATGTTGGGTAGATGATGTGACAGTTTCCAGCGAGCCGTCTGTTCATCTCACTCCGGAAGTTCCAGTTGAACCGGAAGATAAGGAAGTGGGACAGACCGGAACGGAGCAGCATCCAACACTTCCGGAACCGCCTGTAAAAACAGCAGCTCAGTTGGCGGAAGAGCTTCTCAACCCAGATGATGTGGTAGGTGGGGACAATCCCGAACTCGTCCGAGAAGAATTCAACATTTTAAATTTGGAGGACGTGAAAGAACGACAAATCGAACTGCCGAAATTTTTATGTCCGAGTTCGGAAGAGAAATCCCGCCAAGTGGCCATTAAAGATTGGTTAGCAGGTACTTGCTTTACGTCTGCTCGTCACCAGATTCCTATGTACTGAATGTTGTTCTGTATTCGATTATTTTTGGATATGTAATTGCATGAAAGTGTGTATTTGCAAACAGAATTAGTGTTGCGTTTCGCTTTTTATATTGCTTACTGCTTCACTTGCTGGCACAATAGTAGTTATTCCAGTTAAAGAAAACTTCAGACGTTTCAGAACATTTTCACGGGATTGGTAGCATTGGAAAATGTTAAAATAACATAATGCCATATTAGCCAATAAATTTAATGCTAAGATGCCTTTTATAATTTTATTCCCGTCTAGGTTATTTCTGATGGAATCATTTGGATAGGAGGTAACTCGGCCTTTTCCTGCCCCGAGTTCTCTTTGTCAGTGTAGCTTACTTTTCCGTGATACAGACTGGAAATGAAGGCATCAAACAGACTCTCGTCGTTCGAATAGAAGAATGCACCGAGGCCTTAAGTTAAGCTATATATCCGGTAGCTTAAATTGAAAGTTTGGACCAGACGATGGTTGTTACATGATTGCTAATAAAAAACAATAAATGGTTTAAATCATATAAACAACAAGTGCAATATATAGAAATACTAACAAACTTACAAAAATCTCAATTTAACCTAGATATTTGGTGTGTTTTCCCTGAGCTAGAAGTTGACCCGTTTTTTTATCTTTAAGATCTATGGTTAAAAAAGCTAATTTTCTACCAGCCCGGAGAGTTTTAGCGTCTATGACAACAATACTTCCTGGAAACGCTGCTTTCATATATCTGAAAAATATAATGATAGGTCTATATTGTTTTTGTGTTAATACTTGCAAATGACGGATTCGCGAAGCATGGGTTAGTGTGCGGCTGGATATTTGACAGGCAGCAAAAACACCCCTAATTTTTCAAATGAGCTCTTCTATTCATACATGTACAGTGTCATATTGGTTGAAAGTTTGCGTGTGTGGAAGAGTTCACAATAAGGTTGGGGGAAATAAGGTGGTGTCTCAAAGATGAAAACAAACACTTACGATACACTAAGATCTACACTGACGCCTGGTTTACTGTCGCCAGTTGTCATCAACGCCCAGGTGGACACTGCATCCATCAGGGTAGCTGTCATACCGCCATGTAGGGTACCTACACCGTTTAATAGTTCTTCTTTAACAGGGAGTTCACATATACAGTTACCCTCGCCTCCGTCCAATACCTTAATCTACAATATTAGGAAGACAATTTTAGTGGTAGTATGAGAATAAGGGGATTGAAACTGAAGTGTAATCGGAAGAAAAGTTATAAGTGTCTCGACACAGTTTACTTTACTCCAGTTCTTACTTCGTTCAAATGACAATATAATACACCGTAATTTACAGTCAATTGTGGTCTGTTAAATTTTCAATCAACACAAGAGTTACGCCACTTCCATTCAACTGTCCTACGCTGTCGAAGTGATAGGAAACACAAGATAAAAATACGACGAATACTAAAGCAAACTTACCCCTGTTAAAATAGATTCGAATCCTTTCGTGTTGACTCTAAACTCTACTAGTTGTTTCAAGGCGTCTAACGAGGCTCTTACTGCAGTAAACCTCATGGTAATAACCGTTCTTCAAAGTTTACATTAACGAAGGGAGACAAATGTGTTATGAGAGATAGAGACTACAGACAACAACCATATAACTGAAAATATTTAATTTTGACAACTGTAGTGAATCATTTATGGGTCGTGAATACTGTATTGTTGTCTTTTACAGCACTGTCTAGGGAATCAGAAAAAATCCTTATAATAAAGGAAACACATGTAATTTAATATTACACAGTTCCAAAACTGTCTGTAGTAAATCATTTACTAAATATTCATCAAGCAAAGGAAAACCATTATAAATTTCCCCTACATTGTACAGCAAGTATGGCAAATACACCAAAACTGATGTCTGTAGTAAATTATTTACAAAGAGGAATGCTTGTTAAGTAAATCTTTCCCATAGTACAGCTAGTATGGAAAATACACCAAAACTGATGTCTGTAGTAAATCATTTACTATACAGGAATGTCCCTATATTAAGGAAGTCAAAACTTAAATTGACAAAGTATTAATTTATTTTGACAATAATATAAAACATACAATAAGACAAGTAAACACAGACTGGTGCTGAAGTTCCTTCTAATATTTCACACCTAGAGGGAGCTCACTGTCAAATTACTTTTGTGTAGTAAATGACAGTAAATCAAATTTTGCAGATATTTTGTGGATTAGAATATAATAGAATTAAGTGTATTTGAAAAGTCAGTTGACAATTTGACTTCAGTAAAAGATCAAAATATTTTCAGTGATACATCCACAGTTCTTGGAGTGTTTCTTAGATTAGAATTCTGATTATAAAGGTAACAATATAAAATAATTTAATGAATTTGTTCCACTGGATATAAAAGTTTAGAAAGAAGCCAGACTTTATCTAACATTAAATAAATTCACATCATGTATCATACAGTTCACTGGTTTAATAACAATCAGAATGTGTTTTTATAATTTAATTTATTTACACAAAACATTTCCACAGCCCAACTTTAATTTTATAATGACTATTGATCATAAAGGTAGACACAGTGTCAAGAATGGTTTGGGATTATTGATACAGTAGAAAATAGAAGTGAATAATGTTAACATGGTGTTCAAACTCTATATTGTGTATTTGTAAATTCTATCTCTTTCTGTATCTGTGATCCCACTTTGTGATGTGCACAGGCATGGTGTAAGTGTTTGGTGCCAGATTATCAATATATTATGAAATATAAAGGAGAATAGTTTCTAGACCATGTATTATGTTATGGCTTACCGGTATTTATTTTTTACTGTTTCTATAAACCCACTTAGTCATCTAAATTCACCTATAGAATTATTGATCAATATGGCAAAATATTATAATTTACAAGATAAATAGCAGTGAAAATATTGAATCAACATCTTAGAGAATAAACCTAGTTATTTTATTATAAATAGACACCAAGACTTGAAGCACAGCAAGACAAAAGCTGGAGCTAATATAAAACTGATGTAAAATGGCATGTTAACTGTGGAATCAAATTGTCTCTTCTATGGAAGGACTAATAGTGGTAACCCTGATACAGTTCAAATTGAGCTCACAATTGGATCATCTTACCTACAGGCTCAATACAGAACATTATTAAACTCGTCTAATAAATACTCTAGATAAACAACATGTCATGGATTCAGACAGCCTATATAATATTAAACTATACTGACTTCAATATTTACAGATGCCATTTTTTATCATAATGTTAAATATTTACAACAACTTTACTTATCATGCTGACTGACTGATCTTTTTTCACATTTCCAAGTTTCAAAAAAACCCTTTGGCTAAATATTGTTTTTCTTAAAGAGTCCACAAGGTTGGGAACCAAGAAGCACAGTTTCAACAAGAATAGAACTTCGTATTGTCTCTGAAATAGTCCGTCAGCCAGCAAGATAAGAAAATTCTACTGGCCTGATAATATAAAAAAATACTAAAAATAATATGGGCCTGTTTTAGTGCTTATCACGTGTTTTACTAAGAAAATTGGTAACATCCATCAGCAATAAAGCTATATGTTTTTAGGTTGTGGATTGGCCCTTAAATAAATCACTTCTCAGTATGATGGTGATTTTCTGTTAAGATAATGTGACTAAATTGGCCTTTTTATGTATTCAAAGTTTGTAACACTGTTTTTTGCAATCGTGTCTCACCGCGAATTTACCAAGCAAAAGCTGTAGCTATGTTGATTTGGCTGCAAACAGTCATCTTCACACCAAAACCAGTTTGTTGTGTTTATTCAACTTAATAAAATATTGACATCATAGTTTCTATCAACAGCTCACTGTGACTATATTAATCAAATAATGTAGCTTTATGGTTGCCAGGTTGCTGATTTGGCCTTAAATCAAGATGGTGAGTAAACTGTATATATCACCAATCAGCCTGTTTTAGTGAGTTTTTTTTGTGTTTCAACTAAGGAAAGTTGGTAACAAAGTTTCTTTGATAGCGTTTGAATATGCTACTTCAAAGTAACTAAGGTCGATTTTGATTCCTTCTGTCTTGACAACAGATCTTTAGTCACTTTCACTGTCACTTTGTAAAGACATAGCTTCTACTTCCTTGATTAGTCCCTCTCGTACAGCGTGGTCCACGACGGCTAGGTGACAGAATACATATTGGTCTGGCATCTGGATACTAAACGCTCGTTGACTTCGTATTCTCCTCACCGTTTCCCTGATATCAACTGTAGATATATCTTCTAGTCTTCTTAAAGATATGTCTATTGTGACAAATGTACCTGGAAAAACAAGACAACTCAATGTATTATCTGAAGTCTGAAAGGAGGCTAAGCTTATTTTCCTGAAATAATCTAAGTTTTAAATTTTATTGAGGTGTCTTATTCTCCAATAGCAAACAGTAATCTGATTGGATAATAAAACTATATATAAAATAGATTATAGTGATCGACCAATCAGATGACTGGAACACTAAAATCATCATTCAGTTCAACACCCCTTGAATTCATTTCATCTCATACCCTATAGAGCTCATGAAATAAAACAGTTTTAAATTCAAAAATAGTGGACAGCGTCCAAATATCGTCTTGAGGGTGGTAAAACGCAATACATTCTTACTTGATTTTCATATTTTGGTCACATACTCTTAAACAAGTTAACATTTCTTACCTGTTCGACCTATACCAGCACTACAATGGACAACTATTGGTGGACCTCTGGGATGTCCCTGCCACGCCTCACCCATATTCTGGGTAGCCTCCTCCTGGGTTTGTCGAACGTGGAACAGGAAGTTTAAGAACCCTGTGGCTGGTGGGATTCCGTAATCTGGCCAAGTGACAAACTGAAGATGTGTTATATTCCTTGATTCACCAGTCTGAAAAATTATAAACGGCGATTTGATTATCATTTTATATAATATAATAAAGACATAGACATAGGGTGTTGGTTGTGAGGCAAAAATACATTAAACCTCAGGGAAGAAGGGTATTAATATATGGAACTTTTTGGAGGGTCACAGAAGCTAATAATAATAATTTTCTTTTAAAATTTTACTTCATTATTTGAATACTAAGTTAATGAAAAGTTCTAATTTTGTTTTAGTTTAGACAGATAGCTGACAAAGCCTAATTAGTAATATCAATAACATTGATTCAATATCAAAATAAATCACTAATAAAAAATTTGAAGTCTGCCTTCACCAGAACAAAGAGTCCACAAAGCGAATTATATAGTTGTATTCTGTTATACCTTTGTATTGTGTAAAATAAGTTTAGTTTCTATATAATCTTGAAATTGTTTAATAGTATTGTTATACACAATAAACTCTTCAAACTGCTCATTGGTTGTTTCTTCATTCGGCCAGTATTGACCACATTTCATTCGCTGACGTTCTATAGTTTTGGTTGTCATGACAATAACTTGAGTTTGATTGGACCACACCATTCTCCAGAAATCTTCAAATGTTTTTGGTAAGGGACCTGAAATATTACAATATTAAAAGATCGGACAGGATGTTATACTACCATGACTCAACCATCTATAAAGAAAGGTGACCAAATTGCTAATGGAATAGGAGTTTGATTCTTGGCTTTTTGGAGATTTGCTGAACTATTAACCTCTAAGAATGGAGGCTGCAGTACAGCTCTAATTTCAAAAAACCCAATACAGAGCTATCATCACCTCTTCTCTGTATGACTCCCCAAATCATTCCGTTCCGAACCACTCCCAACCCTAAATCTTGTCCCTTTGACTCCTACTTGAGACATACCTTGTGTAGAAATAGGAATTTTGTTTGCATGTATCAATCTACGTAGTTACCGTTAAAATATTCATTCATGACCCACAATTATTCCCTACCCATGATCATACCCTACCACTAATTATACCCTACCTCTGATCATGCCCTACCCCTAATTATACCCTTCCCCTAATCATGCCCTACCCCTGATTATACCCTACCACTAATCATGCCCTACCCCTGATCATGCCCTACCCCTGAGCCTGTCCCCTCTATTATACCTTGAGTAGAAATATAAGCGTTTTTCTGCATGTAGCCGTCTACGTAGTTAGCATTAATATAATCATCTGGATTGTCCTCAGTAACAGGTAATTTAACTCGACTATGATCGTATGCTAAAACATCGGTATAACGATTCTTTGGTAGATTGTGACGAGCTCTGAAAATATAAATTATTCAAAAGGTCACCAGAAACAGATACCCTATTTTATCAGCTAGCTGTCCTGATGAGGTCTTGGTATCAGATACAGCAGTACAGTAGATGATCTCTAGATAAATAGTCAATTTTTGATTTGCCATTTACCCATTATCTAGACAATTCCGAAACAGGTCTGTAGCACCTTGGAAATTACTTTTTTTTTTAAATGGAATCATATTCATATACATATGAAAAATCTACATAATAAACCTTTTTCGCTTCTCAAAATATCTTCAAGAGTTGAGAAAACAATAAAAGTATGGAATACTACTAGGTTACAATTTTTTACTTACTTTGATTCCAAAAAAGTGCCAGATGGCGCTTCCATTTTAATATGAGCATATTCTGAGAATAATCCCTTCCGTTTGACCATTTTTATATGATCTACAAGTTGAGATATTGTCATACCACGATCGTCTGGCATATGGATTGAATCGTCTAAAATATTCGACCCCGACGATTGGGGTCGTTTCTTTTTCTTTTGTTCTACGGAAAAATTATCATCCGTGGCTTCTTCCGAGGCAGATAACTCTGAATTCCTTTTCCGACCGTCACGATTCGAATCGTTAGTTTTTCTACGCTTTCCATTTGTTAACGTTCCATCTTTTTCAAAATTTACCTCCTTTTCAGAGTCTGTTCCATCAAATTCGCGTTCTTTCTCCCTGTCTTCATGATGATATTTTTCATTTATTGTTTCTTTTGACGCTTCTGAGTTCGAATCCATATCACTGATGTGTAATTCTGCATCACTAGACCCACTACGTGAAACAGATCGCGAATCATAGTCAATAGAGTTATGTCCCCTTTTACGGGAGATGAAAAATGAATCCATATCTGGTGTTTGATTGGTGGATATTTTATAACAGAGTTGTAACCAGCTGTTATGACTGGGAATTCGACTGCTATCTAATGTAGGATGAATACACTCCTCTGGTAGATGTTTTGAAAGTTGACTTAAATCAACTGTAAATACCTACAATATATTAACAAATAATAAATCACGCTTTCAACCACTCATTGACGAAAAATAAGGGATAATTTTAGGGCCTAAATCCAAGGTTTTAGACATTTAAATGTATTAGTTTCGCACATTTGACTCTTAAAAAGCTTGCAAAAATACTTGAGCTCAAGGGTTGAAAGTGCGGGATCTGAACCCCCCTAAGAAGATTTTATAAATGAGGTTTTATTCCCTTGTATCTGAGGCCATTCCAAACAGCATTCCTGTTGACCAGGTACAATGATTGCCCCTCGAGTAGAAATACAAAAAAAATTGAAATTAACAGTTTTTAAGGAATTTCGCAAAACTGAACAAATTTAGAAAGCTGTAAAATTTATCAAGGGGGGAAAATTATTCTGTATCTTATTGGACTGAAGAAACAAAATGAAAGATGTCCTAACCGCTCAGCAATGATTTTAACTCTACAGGGTGAACAGGTTACAACACCAACATAAGTCAAAAATTTCTGACCATCTACTGCCCATTTGCACAGCATGTAGCACACAGCACCATGGTTTTCAACCCAGCTGTAAATGGGTAGAGATAATCCAGGAAAGATCAATGTCAAGAGGTATAGCCATTGGCCAAGGACTAGCTGGTAGAAAGAATCTTAACTGTAAACCTAAGTGGATATCCTTGTAAAATATAGTTGTTTCTTCCCTTTTTCTTATTGTTCCATAGGACTTCTAAAACTAATACCTACCCTGTCACGTAATTTTTCTTTGACAAATAAACGTAATAAATTAAATGGAGCTTTAAACCACAATGGTGCTGTAACAATCAGAACTTTCTTCAATCTAGCTGGATAGGCTCCCTGTCATATATCAAATATTACATTATTAGGTGAAAAGAGGCAGATTAGATTATCATATCAGTAAGTGTTTAGGTGTAATAGAAGTTGTATATTATGTTGTATATAGAGTGGGATTATCAGTACTGTAGAAAATAGGAGAAGCAAATCATGTCCTAAACTAATTAAAATAAATAAAATTTTTTTCTGATATTGTTTTCTTCTCCATTGTGATCTAACGAGTTTTCATCTACAAGTTTTCATCTACATGTCTGTTATGATGTAATTCTTAATAATTATAACAAATTGTGGGAAAGAGCAGGCTTTTGCTACAATTCGTCATTTGCTACTTAACACGGAATAAAGAAAAATTTAACTAGATCATGGATACCAAACCAGAAACCCCCAGAAACCCACAGAAACAACAGAAACTAAAAAATCTTCATCAAGAATTAAGCTTAGATAACTACAACTTCAACAAAATCCCATAATCCTTTAAAAAAACACAAAACAGAAAATCAAGACCTAGTATTTTATCAGTTTGTTAAAACTTCAGCTTATTACAAGATAATTTTCTTACCTTAAGCATACTCAGTATTTTACTGCTGAGGTCATAATCAAAGTTGGCATATTTCGAATCTGACATATCATATATAAATACTAAACCATGTTTCTGGGTTTCCAGGCTGAAAATAGATCATAGGCAACTTAAAATAATAATTTTATATACATCATCGTTTAAACCAATACTGGTATCTTTACTATATATAGACTCTATTTTTGTACGTTTTCATATCCATAAAACGAAAAATATGTGACTTTGTTAACTCATGTGATCATTATAAGGTTTCTGAAACTACTGTCTTGATTGAAATATTGACCTATAGATTAGTTAGGTCGAAAGCATCTATAGCTTTGACTCAAAGCGTCTGGAACTAGAAGAATACCCTAGAGCCAGTGTGAGATGACACCCATAAAACCTGATCTTACCTCTCTAGAGCACAATCTAACTGATAAACTAAACCTTTCAATGTAATTTGATGTGTAGTATGAGAAGGTATGTGTAATCGAGCTGTAAATAAAGCTACTGCTGCCCCACTGTTATCTCGATGTGGCTAGAATACAGAAACCAACAACATAAAAATAAAGATGTAGGTTCCATTTCTAGCAGCTATAGTGAAATTTGAAGCAATGCAGTATGCAATGGGAGAAATTCTGAATAACAGTTCATTCTACATTCTACTTTTTAGTTAATAAATGAAATGTCCTACTTTTCTGCACCATGTGGGCTAATGAAGACGGGCAACACCATGCAGGGTGCCATGAGGGAAATTTTGCCAGGACAGCGGCATTAGCCTGCTCTTTTCTGATTTACAACTGTCAAGGGATCTTTAACGTGCACAGCCTGTAGCACACGGGGCCCCTGTTTATTGTCCGAACCGGTTGGTTTAGGTAATGAAGAATGATTTACAGTGTGAGCAATCAGAGCCAAAAGCACATAGGCCCTTGATTTTTTTTTTGCTCCATTCTAGCTACTTGACAACTTTTCATAACAGACTCTGACCCATTTCAATATCAAGGGCATGCCATACGCAAAACAACAAAAAACAGCAGTGATTGGAATAATGTCAGACGAATTCTTGACACTTTCCGAGGCTCTCATTACATCTACAGAAAGAAATATTTTAACCAACTGCTGGAATTGATTCAAGGACCATATTGATTCTTCCTCAATAGTAAAGTAATGTGACAAAATGACAGTACTTACCAGAATGGTAAATTTACCAGAAGTTAGCTCCCTTTTTATTTCTTTATCAGACGGGTCAATATCCTGCAAGTCTTCGGTTTTACGAATTGTCTGGAATATTTATTGTTAAAAAGTCAAATAATTCCACATAATAATAGTATTTCAAATTTTTCATAGTTTCTTCAGAGTTTCCTCATACACCTGAAGTTTGGGGAAGTTTACTCTGTTTTTTAAAACCATCTATTAAGATGATACTGTGTTAGAGATAAAATATAAACTGAGGTCTATGTGGTTATGTCATCAGAATAATAAGATGAGATAACAGATTTGAAATAAAATAAATAGAAAACCTGCAAAACAAGAGATGTTCAAATGAGTCATATATAGGGGGTTCCCCTATTTTGTTTGAATCAGGTCACAAAGTGTGAGATTTCAGCTTAGACATTCATCTCTGATTCAAGAGTGATGACAAAATTATATATTGAAAAGTTTTTTTTTTCTAGTTATATGTACAAGGAATAAGAATAGCTGTAGGATATGGATTTCAACCTCTGTTCAAAGTTTAATAGTCTGACTATAAAGGAGAATACCAATTTTCTATTTCTATAAATAAAGACTCCCTTATCTGCATCCCTATTTAGTTCACTAGCAGGTAAAAATCTTTCACAGACTTGTGATTAATGAAAACCCAGCCTAATTCAGATCACAGCACCCCAAACAGACAGTCTAGTGGTTTATTGACATATCCAAATTATAAAAAATAGGCACTGGAAAGTATTATCTGGACTTATGCTAGGATTAAAACAAGAACACATCATGAATCAAAATATCAATATATATATAACCTACCTCATGAGCTATAAATAGATCAATAGCTCGCTTCGGGTCGAATTTTCGAGCATTAAGAAATTTAACAGCCGTACCCCATGCTATCGGTGTTTTTCCCTGTTTTTGAAGAAAAAGGTTGACTTCTTCCAAGAACCGATGAGCTACCTGAAAAATACAGAAAAATAAGTTTCAGTATATCCTATTTCAAATAATCGATTTCCAACATTATAACATTTTTTTTTTATATATAGCACAAAATATTAAGTAATGTTCTGACACAGGTCCATGTAATAGAATCCTATAACCAAACACAACGCTATGACAGTCTTTATCGTTTTTATTCAGTATGGTGCAACACTGATTTCTTTAACATAAATCTGGACTGTTGATTTGACTGTATTTGACAAGAGCAATACCGCCCTGAGGATTAACAATAGACTTCGCTCCATTCTGCAGATTAACAATAGACTTTTTATCAATCTATAGGTACAACAGGAAAATATAAGTAAATTCATAACAGTGATTCATTTTCTTCAAATTCTAATCTAAATCAAGGTGGTTTCAGTTTTTATCAAACTTCCGTATTTACCTTTGATTACAATAATTATTAATCACTGACATTGTTTCCAGTCTAACAATCAAGTTTCACAAAATAGTTTTTTTTTCCGTCAGTTAACTTGTGATATGACATGACTTGTTCAGTAGGAAACAAAACCCTACAAAATATTTAAGGTATACTCTTTTTTTCTATCTTTTTTGATATCTCCGTCCTTACTTCATGTACAGAAGTAAGAATAGTTCTATATTTACACCTGTATAAACTATATTACAAAGGGCACCTGCAGTATTTAGCCAAGCTATCTCTGTGTACTTCATGTACATATCATGAACATTTCTGAGAGTTTTAACATTGCTTTATTTAAGTCCTTGTTTAGATTCTGACAAACCTCACAAATCTTCCAATTTAATCGTTGATGTTTGTAAGTACGTTAACAAAAAACATTACATGACCAAAATATTTGGTGTTTAAAAAGTATTTATTCTCAAAGACTACAAACTTGTGTTTCTATTAACACCACATGTGAAGTTCTGGCACCATTAACTTCCTGCAACTCTGAATTACTGGGTCACTGAATTCTCAGAGAAAGCATGCCTGTTACCTAATATAACTTCTTAGTATAGAATTTCCTGACTAGAAACTAGGTGCTATTTAGTTATTAAAAGAAATTTTAAAAACTGATCATATATATTTTTTCAGTTATTATGCTTCACTTTCTACAAATTATAAACAGGCTCCAGCAGAATATTACATTTATCCCTTTTTAATCACATATTTGAAACATTATAAATTTAGTGTGTGAAAATTAAAATTAAAGATAAACTCACATCTAATAGTTACTTATAAATCTTTAAATTTTTTTTAATTCTCCAGAAATTGATACGTTTGGTTCCAAACAAATTAATTATTCCTGAGGAATTCAGATAAACATTATGTAAACACAATTTTTAAAGAAATATAAAGCCAGGCTTATTCCTAGGAAATCAGCACCATAATTTCCTCCTCCAGAGAAATACCAATTCCTGAAGAATTCCTTCTACTGGTTACCACAAACCTTAATAACTTAAATATTATATTCATCACTATGAACTAATATAAACGCTTGGAGTTACCTCGTAACAGAATCCATAATCTCAAAAAATCTACGTGTTACTCTACAGCCGTGTTTATCATAAAAAACATGATTCAAAACATGTCAACACAATTATTAGTAAAAATAATGGCACCAGTGAACATCCTATGCTAACGTGTTACTCCACAATATACTTCCAAAACTAAGTCACAACATTCAAAAATAATGGAAAAACAATGTTCAATATTTCATCAAAAATAAGTAAAATTGCAATAAATTCTAGATATTTAATGTCATATCAAGTCCAGTAATAATACAGCTGGTTACATAAACCTCAGTTTCACACAAATATCAGTGTAACTTTGTAATAACTTTCAAAAACCTTGAGCCATACCAAATCCTGTATAGGATCTTATTAAAACAAAACACCTCTATACAAGAAAAACAGTTTCACACCAAAAATACGTGTTACTTCGCTTCACAATAGATTCTGAGAGGATTGACCTATACAGTAGTTTATAACCAACCAGTCTCTCTCTCTCTCTCTCTCTACTACATTACTATTTAATACAGAATAACATTATATATTATATAAATTTCAAGCTAGTGTAAGGGAGGAACACATAAAATAGTTAACACATGGTATCAATCCAGTACTAAAAGGTTAACAGTTGGATCATTCTATTGATTTGTACTATGTTATTACATAGCATGTTCCCAGCAGGATTATTGATATAATATATATAGAATATGGAGGAAACTAATATATTGAATATAGTATGTTGTAAAGTGTGGGATTATGCAAACAGTAGGAAATCAAAGTGAATACACCAGATAGGCCTACGTGTTCAGCCTACGTGTTCCGTGTGTTCGGCCTACGTGTTCAGTAGAATTATTGATATAGTTTGTAGAAAATAAAGGAAGCAGATGTGTGGTGTTATATAGTATAGGGAATATAAGATGAGAATCCAGGAGGTATAGTGTATAGTATACTGTCCAGAATTATTGTTAAAATAGAAACTAGAGCAGTGGTTCCTAACCTCTCTCAGTCTTCACACCCCTCGAGCAATCACCTGGACCTTTCACACACCAAAAATTTGTTTCAACCACATTTCCAGCATGTGATGATGTGAGGTGCTCTCTCAATTAAAAATATATTCTTCTCCTACACCAGTTGGCCACACCCCTGGCACAATTGTCCTACACCCCGAGGGGATGAAAACACCCCTGCGTGGGGAAATAGAAGAAAGGATATATTTCTGACCTCTACCTAGGATCATCACTTCCACAATAATAATCCACATTGTACGGTACACCACATCGGACGGACATTGTATTACTACTTTCACTATGTACAACTATAATACACTTTATATACAAGATTTCTTCAATACAACATTGATTCAGGACAAGACCAGACAACAATCTTTTACATTCATTGAAACGACAACTATATCAATGAATCTAGATAAAGATAATATACACAACAAGGACAAGACAAGACAAGACAAGACATCTTTTAGGTTCATTTCAATGACAACTATATTAATGAATAGACAAATGACAGTGTTTTTTGTAATACCTATTATATTACTACTTTATATAAGATAATATACACAACAAAGTATCCAAAAGACAAGACAAGACAACACCACAAATCTTTTAGTCCAATTACCTCAAAAAGGTTATTAAGAGAGAGAGAGTATAGTTTCCCTTCTTGTTCCTTGGCCGTAAGTGATCTGCCTGAAAGTTCAGCTAGCTCTCTACAACATATCACGGTCGTGTTTTTAATACTGTAATAGAGTTTTACATCCTAGTCTTCTTCACTTATAAACCACTTGATATATACACATCATCAAACTCTTCACTTTCTTAGAATTGAGGCTCAATGTCAAATTACTTTAAAAACATTTCTAAGAAATTTCGACCATAAGTAGATCATATCACCCAATGAGAAAGCGAAATACAGCTATCTTAACCACAATATATAAGTCCAAATCAACTTGCTGACAAAATCCTTGAAGTAGACATCAAACAGCTACCTGAGACCTTTAAAACAATGTCCTACAACTGTAACTACTATAGACATCAAGAAGGTAGTAAAATTGGAATGGTGCAAATTGATGCTATCAGTGTCTTGGATTAATAAAATTTAGAAAATCTCCTTACAATCCCTTTAATAAGCATTTCTATAATTACAGGAACCACAGACATCTGATAGAAAAATTGGAATGATGCTAATAGAAGCCATAAATGGCACCCATACTCATTCTAAAAAAACCTTTTTTCAAACATCTTGAAACTTAAACTTAGAGAAAAGTGAATAACAATTAAATACAGTAGTCTTTATAAAAACTGATAATATCTAACAACTGTTCTGATAACACCGTAGTAGGAAATATATACTTAACATCTCAGGTCAGGTTTACACATTTATTTTCATTTTTTAGTTTTAATGTTAGAAACAATGACATATAAGTGTAGTTAAAGGGACAGATGCCCCATTTTTTGAACAATCTTTCCTTAGTCTCAGATTTGGGAATTATTCAACTAAGCCAATCAATAATAGTGTTCACAGCTCACCACCAAAATCTTAGCCTTCAAATCCCTATGTGTCCAGAATTTTCTGTGTTTGAATGTTAAAATGACGACTCGTGATATAAAGAAAAGACAAGTATAGGAATAGTGAGTAAAATTCCAACTTTTGAAATTTTATACCATTTCGTACATTTCTTATACTTCTGAAGACTATTTACTTATATTCAAGACTCAAATCAACCTGGTAAACTGGTGTAACTGTCCCTTTAAAGAAAAATGTTATTTTTAAATTTTTTTGGTCAGAAAAAAGACATTTCCATCAGAAATACATCTTTAATATAACTTACATATTCGTTTGAGCGTTTACAAACCCTATGTTGTCACTCTTTTTCACCTTGGCCAGTGTTTTCATAATCATGGCTTTTAGAGTTTCAAAGTAAATTTCAACTCCCTATTTTGAGCAGAGCAGAACAAAGACAACAAAGATGTTTATAAGTTTCCGTATCAAAACATAAACACAAATAGTCCATGTTTATGATTAGGTACAGTAAGTAATAATCAACACACTTTAAGTTGATTCTGTATAGTTTATATTATTATACATTTTACCTAAAATAAAGTCGATTTCTCCTTTTTTGGGGTTTTGAATTGACCCAGTTGAGAAAAAATATCTGTATTCAGAAATATAGTACTAGAGTCAATGACCTCAATTGACATACAATAACTGAAGTTCACTTAGATATATCTGTTCTCTGGGAATACCATTGTACTTTACTATTCATCAGTTCTCTCCATTCTCAGAGAATATATCTTTATATATAGTTAGTCCAAAACCCTGCCCTTGTCAGCTATGATACAATTATAAGCTTATATATCAAGGCCAATCTCAGTTAGCTGTAGAGTCTCTGTTAGTTGTAAAATCTCAGTTAGCTATCTATATATCCACATGCTGAAGCCTCAGTTACTAAGCAACGTTTTTCAGGTATTATGTTTTATAATCAATTTGAATTATTCTCAGAGAATATCTATACTATTAGTCCAAAACTCTACCTCTATATGCTATGTATCTATCAACCTCAGTTATTAAATAATGGCTTTGAAGGTTTCTGTTTCTGATCTCATCCAAGGCTACTACTTGGTTACAGTAGAAATTACAAGAAGCAAATTATGCCTCCATCTGGTGTATTTGCTTCTGTTTATCACTTTATCCAGTACTATGCCTCGTTGAGTTGCACCTTGATACTTTATACAAAACCTTCATAGAGTTATATTTTACTTCAGACACAGGCTTGATAAAATTTATTCTCCAAGATTAGGCAGGTCAACAAAGTTCGGACTACAGTCTTAAGACCATGACCTACTAATGAAAGTATCTATGGTAATGATATAACAATAAATATATGTGGAACTCGGAATTCTCCGAGAATCTATTATCTTGAGTCTTAATAGTAATATATTATGATAAGATGGATTAATCGAAGATAAATAGAATTAATAGCTTATAAAACACATAAAACATGTGCCAATAGATAACCTGTCAATTAATCATTATTTCTAATATATTTGATTTCTTGAGCAGTGCTTTCTAGAACTAACGAACTAATGAAATTAGAAGACAACCATAACATAAAACTAATAAGCTAGCACTGTAACTAGTGGTGCCTAGTATGCTTCAGTTAACAACATTATTGACATATTTTCAACATCCAGACTGTTAAAGGGGCAGATGCTCCATTTTCATGACCTATCATACTTTAGTCTCAGAAACAGGAATTGTTTAAACTTAACCAATCAGTGTTCACAGCTCACCATCGAAATTTGAGCCTTCAAATCCATTTGTCCAGAATTATCTGCGTTTGAAAGTTTTCTTGAGACACTGCCATATATAGAAAATAGGAAAAGAAATTCCTGGTTTGAGATATTCTTGAAGGAATTATGCGATTTTTGTACACGTCTAGTACTTATCTCTAAGTAAAATTTACATATTCAAGACTGAAACCTTTCAAAATGGTGACACTGTCTCTTTAATAAGTTGGAAGGATAAGTTTACGATGCCATGACGAACTATTAACATCATTCCTATAAATCACTTTATTCTCAGAACTTGACTATTTCCCAGGAATAGTAAATGACTATTTCCCAGGAATAGTAAATTACTATTTCCAATTAATAGTAACTACGCACAAAAACTTGACTGGAACCTATCAACAATGTTATGTTATGTGTGTCTCCCACTTAATTGTATATTATCAGCTATAATATCAATATTGATAAACAGAAAACATCCCTAGAACAACTCGAAAAATTATAAGTTTCCTACTTAAACAATTCTAACAATTATCGTGGATTTGATTTTAGCAGCATTGTGGGTAAATAGTCAAATCGACAACCTAAAAGAATTATGAATTACCTTGTCTTCATAGCTTTTATCTCTATCAGAATAAAGATGGCCACAAACAACGGAAACACGATTCATACTAGTTATAACTTTCTAAAGAATAAAATAATGAAGAGAAAATATGGAACCGTATTTTGCAGTTATAACAGCTAAATCTTGACCAATTCTCGAGGATCCTTTCTATCATCTGGTTCTTGGTTAAATCTCTTGGCATTAATATAATAAGCTGACAAGGTTCTGAAGATAGTGTCTTGAGGCTGGTCAAATAATTTCAGAGTAGGTCTTGTACTTGCAATCGTATTCAGGGAAATGAACATTATTCAGAATGAAACTAAAATTTGAAATCCACATAATAAACAACAATGTTACCTGGTTTTTATTCTTCAATATATCTTGATCAATTAAAGGATGACTACCACATACAGGTACACAACTCATTTCTTGTCTCCCCTGGAGAACAAAATCATACCATCATTTCCGTATTCATTAACGCAAAACTTTTAAAAATATTTTAGCATTCTTGGGGTTTGCTCTCTCACAAATTATCCTTGTTAGTATGACATGTCTTACATAACATGCTTAGATTGGTTATTCTGAACGTCAATAGAAAACTTGCTATCAATGAAATATCAAGGACAAAATAAAATTGTTATCTAATTTCGACAAGGTAACTGACACAATCAGAGTAGAGCAAGACGTTCTGATCATGATGACATGTCTGAAGATTAATATACAGGTATACTAAATTTTCACAGAGAATGAAAATGATGAAAGATTAAAAAGAAAACACATTCCAAGGAAAATAAACCATTCTCTGACAATAAGATGAATTGAGAGCCAAGATTCTCTCATATAAAATAATTCCTTATGTTAACCTTTCATGTTGAATGTACTTTTGATTAAATTCTTTTGGATATTGAATGCCTTTGTACTGGCAATAAAAGTAAATGTCCACACCAGGCAAACTTTGTAAATTATTACCAGAAACTAGCCATTGTTTCTCAAATTCTTTTATACTGGATATTTTCTCAAGTAAGAAGACTTTCAACTCATATCTTGGTTCAAAAAGCTCATATCAAGTGTCTTGTGCATGTGTTGGATATAAATTCCTAGGAACACAACTAGAAGGTCTCAATCAATTTAAAAACTATTCGAACATAAGGAAAAGAACATATCTAAGCTAATTTGAAAGAATGACATCAGAAGATAAAGCATATCACACACAGAAATTCTCAAAAGTTTCCTTGAATGAATTAATAACTCAAAGATAGCTTGCCAGGCAAGGTAACATACGCCCACTGGCAGCTGTCAGAAATGATAAAACAGTCTTTATTGACTAAAATACGAATTCTCTCATATTGAAGAAATTTTATTAGTTTGAATTCAATTGCATATATATATGCCAGTTATTTATGCAGTTATTAATTCCACAAAATTTTTTAAAATCAATATTAATAACTCAAATACAACAAACAATTAAATCACACTGCTCTAATCAAGGGCAAAAAACTTTTGATGCATGTTTACAAAGTCAAGGGCAATAACTCAAACAACATTCATCAAAAATATCTCAAGTTAAAACTTGTCCGAGATCTTATCAATTCCAATGATCACACCAAGTTTCATAAGAATCAGTTGAAAACTGTAGCTTCAATCCTGCTCACGAACTATTTTTAACAAATTTCAAGGCGTTCTAAGTCAAGGGCAATATCTCAAAAACAGTTCATCGAAAATATGTCAAATTCGAACTTGACCGAGATCTTATCAATCTAAAGCGTCACACCAAGTTTTATCAAAATCAGATAAAAACTGTAGTCTCTATAGTGATCACAAGAAATGTTGACGGACGGACCGTCAACAATATACGACCACATATTCAAGTGTAAAAAACAATAAAACTTGACATCAAATACCATCCTTTAATAACCAACGTTGCGTCAAAAAAGTTTTGACTTCATCAAGGGAAGAAACAAACTACAAAAGGTGGAAGGCAGTTAATATTAAAATTACAATATGACCTCATAAGGTTTATGACGTCACAATCTTAGAAACCACATAACAAGAGAAGGGTCAAATCACAAAATGGTGGGAGGCAATTTGATTCTTGATAATATGACCTCAGAAGATTTATGACATCAAAATCTTAGATACAACATAACAAATATGTAATGATGACTTCAGGATTTGCAAAAGAATCGAAACAGGAAGGGAAACAGGAAGGGAAACAGGAAGGGAAAAAAGGGGGTGGGGTGAAATACACTAATATTTAGTCATTTTGAAACCTCCTGGGTTGAGTTCATTCAATCCATACGTCCATACAGAGTATAAAATAAAACACAAGTTAACTCTGACAACAATCCTTCCATATTTTAAAATTAAAGAAATCATAGTAATATATCATACGAAAAAATAACATGAATACATGGAAGAGTCCAATGACAGTAGAATAGTGAAATCTATAAGACTATTCCTAGATGTTATACCTTTGTGAAACGAACAGAAAATTTGACAGAAAACACATGAGGAGTTACCTCCCATATGAATATCTACCAAATACCGAATTAATAACTGATGCCAGTTTTTAAAATTCAATCTTATATTAAATAAGCTTAACAAGATTAAATTTTAATACTGCGTTTACCTGTTGTAAGACAACTACAAACTTGTTCAGAGTCTAGACTTCAAAGTAATATAACCTTGTGATAGACTACACTACGTTTGTGAGTCACTATGAACTCTATAAACTGCTTGCTGTTGAAAAGTGCAAAGTCAGACCTATCATTAACTTAGTAATCAATTAAAAACAGAGTATCAATAATAAATTATACACCAGCCAGAAAGTAACTCTGGGCTAGATTCTAAATCTTGAGTCACTAATATGTTATTGTTTACAATTTCAATAGACAGGCCAGGGGTAAGGCCCTACCTACTAGAGAGTTTTTCAATGTTTACTGTCCCCCCCCCTCCCCCCCCCAGTCCTGATCTAACATGAATGAAGGGGGGAATTTAAAACACATAAGTCCAGACAACATCAATTCTAACTCCCTTGATGAAATGATTAACTCATAAAATACCCTTGTGCTTGACAAAAACTTCACTAAAATTGTAATAAAACTGTTACCTTATCATACATTTCTTCACTTGCCTATAAAATGGATTTCAATAGAATAATATTTTATGATGGATTACGAAATAATGTGTTGCCATAATAACATACTAACCCTACTAATATTGAATCAGATATTCTACGAATCACATTTCTTAGAAACATCCATTTTTTTTCTACTATCAGTTTCAGTTCCTGGTTTAAGTGTTTTCATTGGTTTATTTTTCTATGATTGACAGGTTGCATCATTTAAGGTGAGTGGTTTCATTCTATTTAAAGGACCAATCCCATTTCTAACTTAATTTGTATATTTGTGTGATCAGTTTGAGAAAAAAAATCTTAAGAATTCAGTGATCTGTAAGACCTAAAATTCTTTACTTTCTGAGTTGGGTGGCTCAGAGAACCTACAACTCTTTTTATTATAGAATTAGAAATTATGTACATTAGTTGATGATAATGTTAAAAATTTGTAAAGATAATCTGAAGATTCCATAGCGTGAAACTGAGAAACTCTGAGTAACAACATGATTCAAGTTCTGTTTTGATATTTCTAACAAAAACCATATATAATTAAATCTAGTACTTACTGTCCAAAGATTCTACATATATTGTCTTTTCTTTAACTTCAGACACTATGAATTTTTGTTAAAAACTTATCAAAATTGAAAGAATGTAAATTAACTTAGAATAAGGATTGATAATAGATTAAGTCTGTACTTACTGTCTAACTAGTGTCAAAGTTTTTTTGAAATAAAGTTAATTTTATATAAGGATATGGGAATGGTCAACATCCTACAACCTTATTCATAGGATTGAGTGAACTCAATAGGATTTAACCATCAAATTATCATACCTAATCTAACAATGCTCTTAAATATTTTGTAAGGGACTGGCCCCTTCCTAGAAAAGGAACTATTCAATTTAAGATTTTGAATTGTAATTTCAATTTTTCATCTGTATATTATGGTCAGGCATGTCAAATACACAGAGTATTCATTCTGTTATAGGCCATTTCTAATGTTAGGCTATGGCTGTGAAATTGTTTTAATCAGCTTTGAAAAGACTTCTAAGTATGTTCACGATTTTAAGGCTCTCAAATCATCAAATGTACAAATAGGAGAAAGAATATTTAATTTTTTGACAACGTTTTCTGAGTTTTATATGTATTAGGTTTATGATGACACTGATAGCATTGATTTGCATCATTCCAATTCTTTAATGGGCATTAGTCATCCATTTGCAGTGCACTGCTTTGCGTTTTTGAGTCATGAGTCAATGGCAATAGCCTAATGCCATAGTGAGTTGGATTGCCGTCTGCTAGGCGATTAAGAGTCTTGGATTCAAATTCTCCTAATGGTAAAAAAATTCTGATTCCTGTGCCAGTGCTTCCGAACGTTGGCTCTTTCCACTTAATATCCAATGCCATGGTTAGCTGGTCTTTATTTTAAAGGGGTGTGATACAACATTCTGACACCTGCTGTTCAAAATCATTTTATATTGCACTTAGAAAGGGAAAAAGCTGATAGAATCAATTTATTGCAACAGTGTGAAAAATTCTATGAATCAAACTAGATGTTTCACCGATTCTTAGAATCCGGTTCATCCCATTTGTATGACATCTGCTTGCATCTATTTGATTCATGAATTTCTTTCTTCCTCAAAAAAATCGATTTTGATTTCGATAATTGCAAGGCCGAAAATGAAATATCGAACGAATTCTTTCTAAGAAGCGGAGCGGCATATATTGTGCGAAATTTTCTGAATTTTTTCAGTTCATCTATTCAATTTAAGGAGAGAAAAGTTAAATGTTTTCTTACTCTTTCCTGATCTTCGTCGGAGACAGCGGCCATTTCGCTTACCGGAAACCGGCCTACTGGAGTTGCTAATCAATGTCGTAAAACTAAACGAAAAATCAGTTAATTTTTCAAGAATATAATGATTTGCAAATTAGTGTCCTTTATAAGTAATTGTTTCGGTAAATATGAAAATCAAGGCATAAATAATTTCAAAATGAATTGAAATTTGCATCCAAAATTTTTTCTAAATATTGATGTCGTAAAGAAAGTGACGTCAGATTTGTCGAGAAACGCCATATTTAGCTGCGCAAAACGAAAACACAACAAAGGATTGAGACAGAAAAGACTGGATTTTGTCTGTTCTTTGTATAAATTGAGTAAATATTGGTGGATTGATTCAAAGTTTGAATAATTTGGAATGGCTTCTAGTCCATCTAGTAGCGCAGTAAAAGCTTTACAGTTGGAATTGAAGAAAATTCATGACGAACCCGTCGAAGGATTTCGAGTAAAATTGATCAATGATGACGATTTGTTTGTTTGGGAAGTGGCAATTTTTGGACCCCCAGGAACTCTATATGAAGGCGGATATTTTAAGGTTAAATTTGTTTATAAATTAATCCATTTTCTTTGTATTTACAGGCTCTCAAAGTGGCTGATGAAACGACAAAATGGCCAATAGTCAGCTGGCTTTGTTTATAGCGACACGCTTGGCTGGTTACCAAATAAATCTTTGTTTACATTTGTTTTGAGAGAGTCGGACGTTATCATTTTACCTTATAAGGATAATCTAAGATTATAACTTGTCTAAGCCATTGAATCAAAAGTCACTGGGACCTTTAATAAGCAAGATTTAATTCAATTTATGGAGCCTAGGCCCAATTGTAAAAAGTAGCCTAATTCTGTTCCTTTTGAAATTTGCTTGTCATTTAAATTGCGAAATGATTGAAAATTTTGGAAACTTGAAATAACAATGGACTTACCAGTTAATGCTTAGTTAGATTCCATTAAAAATAACAAAGAAATTCATTCATCAGGAATGCAAGATTTGTCATAAGTAATGAAAATCAATAGCTTTCTACTTATGAATAAGCCAAGCAAAGAAATTTGTGCACATTGAAGTGGGATTCAAACCAATAAAATGAGTAATACACTGATATTTATGTAGAATTAATAAAAGTTAAAACTAAAGAAGCCAGGCTCATCCTGCTGATTACAGTTTACTGTTTGTGTTATATTTTGACTAGTACATCAACATCTTTGCTGGATTATGTTAATGTTAATATTGGTATTTATGAATTCAATAAGTTAAATGTGTGTTTTTGTATTTTTTAGGCACACATGAAGTTTCCACCAGATTACCCCTACTGCCCTCCTAGTGTTCGATTTGTCTCCAAAATGTGGCATCCTAACGTTTATGATGTAAGTTTGGAATTAAGAAATTTCACTCTCTTTTGGAAACTATTCTATATATTCTCAAAACAATCTTAGCGCTGGGATATCGTAGAAATATTGTAGAAGTTGAGACCCTAGGAAATCCTAGCTCTTTGTTTCAAGAATACCCGGCCAGGGTGGCTGAGTGATTTAGATGCTTTTCATTGACCTAAGTTTCATACGTACAGTACCCTTGAATTTTTGTCAGTGATGCAGGTTGGAGAGGCACCTAGTCCTTCGTATAAGACTAGATACAGCCCTGTGTTCTACAGGTTTTATTACTACTACTGCTGTCCAGAAATGTCCATGCAAAATTTATGTCTTTGAACACTTGCAATTAGTCCAGTTAGATACAAAGAAAAGATCTAAACCTATTAATTATTTCATTTGTATATTATAGATTAGTTTACATGTGTTGGTATTCAATACAAGTCTATACACCATGCTAATAATGAACATGCTCTTTCTTTACAGAATGGTGATGTTTGTATATCGATTCTACATCCACCAGTAGATGACCCCCAGAGTGGGGAACTTCCGTCCGAGAGGTGGAACCCCACCCAAACAGTCAGGTAGGATTTAACTATCAAAATCTTTCATTCTTCATTTTTACCAGCTAGTAGAGGAAAAAAATTACATTTTCATTAAATACCATTGCTTATATTGTTTTTTATTGCTGAATTCACCAATGATATTTTGAAATATTTCTGTTAAGCAACTGAATTGCATTTTTGTTCCTCTGTTGCCACTGTTTGGTATACTTTGGAGCCTAACATTATTAGCCAACAAGGTGAAGAAAGTGAGGCTTAAATCTCATTTTCATTTTGTGTCATATTTTGGAAACATAACAGGTTTCATTATGATTACCATGTACATTGTTTCTATTTTAGAACTGTGTTATTAAGTATTATATCGTTATTAAATGAACCGAATACATACTCCCCAGCTAACGTAGATGCTAGCGTCATGTTCAGGAAGTTTAAAGAATCTAAAGGCAAGGATAAAGAATATGAAAATATTATCAGGTGAGACTTGAAGGATAGGGAATCAGGCGTTTCTAGCCAATATGAGGGTAGGGGGATCACCTGTATATAGCAAATAACTGGCGTAAGAGAGGATAGGGTTGGGGTAAGTGGATCTTGCCAATATGAAGGTAGGGGGGGATTACCTGTAAATAGCAAATAACTGGCGGAATGTTGGAAGAGAGGACAGGGTTGGGGATCTATCTAACCAATATGTAGAAGGGGGTAGGGGATTCAGAGATGTTTCTAGCCCAATGTCTATTATAGTGGAAGTGTGGGGGGAGGGGATTTTTGCCCATGTTGCCAAAGAAAATCCTGCTTGCTATTTAAAAAGTTATTCTACCTGAGAGAGAACAGGGCCAAATTTAACATCTCTTCCTCTCTTCCGAATCTCTGCCCCACCCCTCCTTCCCCACCCCATGTTTTCAAGTCCCTTAACTGTGTTTTCAGGAAACAAGTGATAGCTACTAAAGAAGATTCAGAACGTGATGGAGTTATAGTTCCTACAACGTTACAGGAATATTGTGTCAGCTCTAAACCATCGAGTCATGATAACCAGGTTGATGCTGATTTCTATGACGATGATTACGTCGATGATTTAGATGATGAAGAGGAGATGTACGAAGATGATGATGAGGATTCTGGTAATGAAGAATCGTGATGATTTCCATGACAGGAAGTGATGTCGTAGATGAATTATGCTCGCGAATAAAATGAAGAAGAAATTTGAAAGATCTTGCTAGTGATAAAGCTTATTAAATTCAGGAATTTTTTGTAAATGTCTTGAACATTTTTTTGCCGTTTTCCAAATGTTTTTGTGATCGTTTTTTGGGGCATTTTAAATGCTTTTTTCCTGCATGATTAATTGTGACATGTTTTAAAGTATGAATTTGGCTTTCACAATTATTGCTGTAATTTGCAATGTACTGGTTTGGGTTGATTTATTTTCATTATACATATCATTTTTCACCAAAAATATTTTACAGCTTCTATCAACTTCGTTTGGCTTGATTTTCTCTCCGATAGTCTAAGTCTGATCTACTGGAAGATGTATGTAAATCATTTTGATGTGATTATTGAATAATTTTGGAAACGGCTAATTTAGGCCAGACTTTACTCTTCCTGCTTATCATAATTCTAAACTGCTGTAATTTCTATAAGGTAGAAATGATCATTTAAAAGATAATTTGCTAGTTTGTTGATGGCAGAATGCAGCCAAACCAAGCCTTAAAGCTATTCAGGATTGAATTTAAATCATGTTTATTTTTTGCATTCATCACAATTTAAGTTTTGCTTGGCATTTTGACAAAGATATTCTTTAAAATGTTCCTTCAAGAATAGACATCTTTTCTGCAGTTATATTTGGAATTGATGACAATATTGTTATAAATGTGCTTACAAGCAACAACAAAGCTTAGATTTATTCTCAATTTTCATTACTTTTGCTTCCTCTCATTGCGGTCAATGAAAAATTATCGAATTATTTTGAGCTATGCTAGATTAAATATGCGAAATCAGTTTCATTTCATTTTGGAGAATCCACAAGCGAATTTTATTTATTACCATATTACAATTGAGCTTGTAAACTCATTTTTGCATATTTTGGAGAGTCTACAAGCTTTTTCAATGCCATTAAACAAAGAAAGTATGCAAAAAAAAATTTTATTAGAAAGTCTACCACTTATTAATTTGTTTTTGGCATGGAAAATAGAGTTATATAAGATCAGCCTGACCTTCCGTAGATATTATGTTTGTAAATAACGGATTTTCATTACTAATATATTATATATATATATCATTGTGTTGGGTGTGTGTCTGTAGTCGTGTGAGATATGTGTGAGGTTGTGTAATGTGTGTCATAAATATATTCACAATGTTAAGATATTACAAACTACGTCTAATACATCATTGAGTACATTTATCGTTGTCTATGCAGGGATTTGATTGGATTGTACACTAGCATGCAGGCAATCAGAATCTTCAACACAATGACAACATTGATCAACTAGCTGTACGTCTAATTGAGGTCTCTGATTCTTATTAGCTGTATTTGCCTACATACAATCCAATGAAACCGCTGCATCTTCTTTGATACAAGAAAAGTGCTGAATGATGTTAAGGTATTGGTTTGAGTTTGTAATACCTTGACATTGTGAAGATGTGTGTGTTGTAATGTATGTGGTTAAGTGTGAAATGTAAGCGTGACTGTTGTATGATTAAATGTGGATTATAATGACGAGTGTTTGAATGAAAACTTTGTCAAAAAAAAATATATATATGAAAGATTTCATTAAAATTTTCAAAAAAATATTTAATTTTAATATCTTATATGAAATAATGATTTATTTTCTAAAGAGAATGGTAAATTAATTGTATTTAGATTTCTTGAAATTAGAAATTATTGAGGCTTGTATCTGCAGTATGATGTTAAAAACATCATCTTTACGTTGAAGTTTTTTTTTTTAAATTTAAAGCCACATTACATTAGATTACCTTGTTTTTCCTAAAAGAAAATCTGTGCTATTCTGAAACTAGATTGCGATCTTGGTAATTTCAGAGTCTTACAGTTATCAATGTATCTTAGGTCATTTTGGCATTATAGATCTGAAAGCAATTAGGTTCAAGTAATAAGTAAGTAAGAAGTGATTGTATTTGAAAGAGTTTCTATAGTTATGTATATTTTAATGAGAAAAAAAACAGATGATAACTTGTGAGAAAATGAACAAAAAAAAGTTAAAAATCAGGAAAAGTTATATTTTATTGATTCTTAGTTCTCATATTTTGTTTTTATGTAATTTGTGTTTAATTTAATTTAATCATGTTAGTTAATTTCTTCTTAACAATGTTACACTTAGTGTTCAAATTTACTTTGAAACACCTGATGGTACTTGTCTTTGGAGAAGTCCAATACTATACGATTTTTACTCCCAATTTTGCCATTCATTGGATGAGATTTTTGATTAACGGAATTGTCTTGCTTTTAATTAATACACATTTGATCTTGGTACTTACTTTTAAAAATGATAAATTGGTTAAGACTCAATCTGTTGACTATATTTGGTTGGATTAATCAAGTATCTAGTTAAAAGAGTGTTTAATGTAATATTTGAGGGGGTGGGGGTTTATAAAGAATGTATAAGTGTATTATTATGGTTGAGAATATAGTATGTCTACCGTATTAAGTGAAATATATCTCCAATGTAAATAGTAAATACTGTCAATAAATTATTAAGTTTATTAATTTACTTCGTTATTATTCTGACAGCTGCTGATTGGATAATATGGAACAATACTCTATAAAACTTATAAGTCCTGTGCCTGTGTTTTCGTAACCTTTACTCGCTAAGTGATTATCGCTGGTATTATTCTATCCAAGTTTTTGAGCTGGGGTCTGAAGGACAAGGAACAGCATCAGCTCATGTGTACCAATAATCCAAAACAAAATCCATTACACATCAAAGATATTTATTTTTACATACAATATAATAAATGGAAGCACAATATGATTTTATTTACAAGTGTGGCTGATATAGTTTTAATTACTATTTATTCTACTCAACATAGACTGGTTATTTACAATGAAAAAACTGGTGAAAATTCTCTATAACTTTACAATAAACTTCAGAATGAACCTAATTTAACTTCAGAATGAACCTAATTTAACTTCAGAATGAACCTAATTTAACTTCAGAATGAACCTAATTTAACTTCAGAATGAACCTAATTTAACTTCAGAATGAACCTTATTTAACTTCAGAATGAACCTTATTTAACTTCAGAATGAACCTAATTTAACTTCAGAATGAACCTTATTAACTTCAGAATGAACCGTATTTAACTTCAGAATGAACCTAATTTAACTTCAGAATGAACCTAATTTAACTTCAGAATGAACCGTATTTAACTTCAGAATGAACCGTATTTAACTTCAGAATGAACCGTATTTAACTTCAGAATGAACCTTATTTAACTTCAGAATGAACCGTATTTAACTTCAGAATGAACTAATTTAACTTCAGAATGAACCGTATTTAACTTCAGAATGAACCGTATTTAACTTCAGAATGAACCTTATTTAACTTCAGAATGAACCTTATTTAACTTCAGAATGAAAGAAAAACTAGGTACAGTAGAGCAAAAACATTTGTGCACTTGATCAATGAAACTACACATAAGCAATCACCTATATATTTAGGCAGTTAAAATAGTAAGAGAAACTATACAGACTAAACTGTTGAATGTTGATTATTATTTTAATTTACTTAAATAAATTGAACTGTTTATATATATCATTCGGAACCAACTGAGTACAATATTCCAGTCCGATTAAAACAAGAAACTATATTATGATACAAGGGAACAATAGGAACATTATGATTTTCAAGTCACTAACTAACATGCATTGAAATTAAAATCATGATTAGGAAATGATAACTATGATTTGCAAGAAAAATGTTGAACTTCTATTAGAGTGCTCACAATTTGAAGTTCACATTTTTGTTGCTCGTGAAAGGTATTGAAAGACTAGCAGAGCCACAAAAGTACAACTGAATGAAAATGAAAGCGAAAGCTTTGATCATTTCAATATCAAATTGTTAAAATCCTGGTATTCCACATTATTTGATGGCATGTAATTCTAAAGAGATTTCTAACTAGTAACTTCAAGTCCAGCGTGTGCTAGTTTTCAAAATATAAAGTTTTGTTGCTTATGGCAGTCCTGACAGCACTATCTCTCATTTCTTTAAGCAAATTTCAAACTTTCATAAAATAAATGTGCTCAGGCTTTGATCATGGCGATTCCTGTGAGAATTCCAAAGAAGCCTTTTGAGCAAAACTAAAACTTGTCAATGTCTTGCCATTTGACTGAGCATTTTAGCATGTTTAGGCTTTGATCATGGCGTCTTGTAGATTCCTGCGAGCAATCTTAACGTTCATCTCCTGTCTTCTAATATCTTCGTCACTAACCAACATCTGTTGAATCAGGGGCTGGTTTGAGTCGATATTAACCCCCGGGTTCTTTAATATTGACCCCTTACTAGCCAGTTGACCAGTTACAGGCAGAGTTCCAATATGCAGAGCAGCTGATATACTCTGCAAGATATTCTCTGTACTTAGATTAGGTCCAACACCTACAAAAAAAACACAAATATTTTGATTAGAATTGGTTAAATCATTTATTGATTTCATTTATTTATTTTCATTCATTTCTGCTCGGATTTATAAGATTTTAAGTTGCCAATTATGTAAGTATACACCTATGATTGTAAACTTGGCCAAAAACAGAAGTCATCAAATCATACTATTTTAGAGTTGATGAAAGAAAGAGAGAATACCAACCCTGCATGTTTCTAGGTAGATCCATGGACTGTATGACTTCATCTGAATTATCACAGGGCTTTAAACCTTGTAGTCTCTTCTCCCAAAATAACTACAACAAAAAATCCATCATTACAAATTACAATATAATTATTGATATATAAGGACCTTTGCAATTAGTGACGTCATCAGCATAGTTTAAATGGAATTGCAGGATCCACAGATGTCTGATTGAAAATTGAAATGAGGCAAATCTATGCTATTAGTGTCCTCTATACACATTAAAATTTTAGAAAACTTCTTTATAATCCCTTTAAATTCATAAAGGTATAGTTGAGCAATGTTATTTTTGTACATCTGGGGAAGGTTGAAAACCAGAGCAGAGCATACTATACTTTTTGGGGTAGAATAGAAAATCAGAAATCTGCACTATAATTTACAAAAATAAATTTAAGAAATGAGAACATCTAACAAAACAAGTGAAGTGCCTACCTGTCTAGGTTGAGCAGGCTGATCTCCACCCTGTTTTATATCTGATCGTGTTTTACTCTCTGGCCTGTTTCGTATTAATGTTACTGGTTGTTTAAATATTGAAGCTGTTTGTCGTATAGGTAGTACTAGGCTGGTATCATGCCTCAGCCCTAAAATAGTAATAGTAGTTTAATATGGTATTAGTGATGAAATATCAATTAATCTTGCATATAAACAACTGGTTAAATCAAGTCCAATAGCACCAACTTCCTAGGGGCCCACCCACACCTCAAGAAAAAATGCAGAGGAGAGCATAATGTAAAGAACACATTGCTGTGTGAGGGGCCCCACTTTAGTCCACAGGCCCCCACTTTTCTAGTCGAGCCACTGGTATTTAGCTGACTATGGCTGTATAAATAATATTTCAAGCACCAATAGTACTAAAATCATACCAAGTTTCAATTTGAAATAGAGACGCAATCATACCAGTTTACCAGTACTCCATCCTTTTGACTAAAGCTTACAACAACAAGTAGATATTCAAGGGCTAAACCTCCCAATTCCCTGAGCCTAATTCTAAGTAGAATATAAACATTTTCCTGTTTTCTTTTTGGCCTTTCTTCGGCTCAATTTTCTGTGCCTAAATAACCAACTGATAAGCAGTAAACAATGAGGTAAATGCCGTAACTCACTATTGCCAAGAAAGCATTGATAGATTATTAGTAGCGTTGTTGTTAAAGAAAAACAGGGCTGATGTTTTAACTCTTTTGTCAGAAATTCTGATGATCCAGTCAGAGATGACTGGTAAAAACAAACAAACACTCAAAAGATGTTGTCAGACATGACTGGTTAGATCTATGATAAATAAATCAACAGCCCTGAGAGGAAGTATTAATATAAATGGAAATGAAATGAAAGTCACAGAATACCACACAATAAAAAGATTTTAAACCAAAAAGATTCTAATAATGAGCTACAAGAAACTAAAAACTGAAATCTAAAAGAATAATGACACTAGAATATAATAGAATTCTAGCACTAATGAAAACAGATAACACAACTTTCATTTTGCCAGAGGAATGGGATTGTGTGACTTCTTACTAATGTTTTAAAAAAAAAAAGAAAAATATTGAGGCATAAACACCAAAAACGAACACTTTTTGAGGCCCTCTTTAAAGAATTAAACTTATCTACTTATTTTCTGAAATCATAAACAGACATTTCGTGATTTGATCAACTTTTTCAAACACCAAATTCAAGCAAGCATGGCTACAAAAAATCTTATGAGTCACAAGTTTAAATGGATGTTGCAAAATATGAGTTATAGCTCACAAATCAAAAAATATATTTTTTCATTTATCAATTTTGACCTCAAAGTTTCTGTTTTCAGTGTTTATCAAAAACTACCCAACTTAACAAAAAAAAAAACTTTTCCTTCTCAACCAACCTCTGGCAAAGTCAAAAGATGATCCTTTGTGTCCCTTACTTTTACGACAGGCATTAAAATTGACACGCCCTGTTCTGAAATCAAATGCACTGAGTTCCATGGCATCACCCAGAGCTCTGGCTAGTTGTGGCTTACTGCGGATTTTTTTACCATCAGGGCTGTAACAAAGAAACAACAAATACATTTACATATGAATCATTTACAGGAATGAACCTGATTTCAATGCAGTTTGGAAAGTCCTTCACTACCCAGAGGGCCCTGACAGTGACAGTGACGCACCAAAGGAGCAGAGCTTTTTCTTTCGACTAAAACTTTCAACTCTATTCATGAAAATAGAGTGAGGCAAGTTCTTTTTCGCAGAATGGAACTGGAAACAAAATGTATTAATGAACAATTATTAAGATAATTTAAAGGTATCATTTCTAATAGCCTATTGGATTACATCAGTGCTAAAACACTCTTACACTACATTTGAAGACAGACAAGGCAAGGGCGGTAACTCAGCATTTCTGGACAGTTATCCGACAAAAACATCCCAAAATAGTGTTTTACCTGTAATAATATACATCTGTTTTGCCTGCAGAGAGACCCGACTTCCGCACAACTTCTTCACGTCGCCAACCATCGGGAAGTCCATTATCTCGGCGTTTTTGATCCATTTTCACCGATTTGGCTTTTCTTGCAAGAAAAACCGGAAGTCTTTTTGTTTACGAAGATGGCGTTTCTGGCGTTTTGGCAATGTTCGACTCAATTACTCCAATGGTTGAATTCTTCTTTAATATAAGTGTATAGAGTTTTGAAAAACGAAACTGAAATCTAAAAGATTATGATGTCACTACAATTTTTCTCTTTTTGAACAAAAAGTATTGAAAAATGAAATTTCGGAGCAATATGATTGTGTTCGTTTTATGATTGATGCGGCTTCCGTCCTTAATCTGCAGCGCCGTCTGGAACTGTAATGGCGGATTTTTCAATTTATTTTATAAAAATTTAACTATTTTCTCATAAACTCCTCATTTACTCTCGTAAGTCCGGATTGAGATTATGGATATTGCAGCAACGATTATCCCGTCCACATAAGAAGTGTTCTGATGATAAATTTTAATTCTTATAGGGATGTCTAATTATCCGCATTTGAAAGATAAAAAAATAACTCTTACAATAACAAAGATTCAATAACATAGATTAGGATAACTCGTCTTGTCAAGATTTTAAGCCCCCCTTGCTATTTCTTTCAGTTCAGGTCACCATCTACTGTCTTGAACATAATTAATGACTAGAATAATGGTATAACTATCTTATTTTTAATTTTTCATAACTGTAGAAACAAAACTCAAACCAAACTGGAAACAACATTTGAGAAAAACATTTGAATAATGCTAATTTATATGAGATTAAAATGTTTGATGGTGTAACAGCATGGTTTTCTTCTAGCGTTGATGACAACACTGTTACAGATTGGAGTAAGTAAATCTATCACTCATTGTAAGCTTTATATGTTAATGGCCCAAGCTTTAAGCTTATATAATGGAAATTATGAAGTTTAAGTTTGAAATGAATTAGATTGGTTCATATAATATAGATGATAAGCTTATATATATTTTTTTATTAAATGAATTCTTCAGTTCTGATTTTTAAATCAGAGTCAAATTATACCCATTTGAACAGTTTAGACTTTTTTCTTTATTTTAGAATCTGAGAAAGGTGAAGTGAAAGATCTTGATGAAGCTCAGTTTATTTTTAGTAACGAAAGCGAAGCCCGTGATACAAAATCGTAAGTTTTTATTCAAATTAACTTCACAAAATATACTCTCTCACTAGTTACAACTACATGCCAGTGCCTGTGCTTTCGAAACATTATACTTAACCGCAATGTTAAACCTAAAATGACTAACTACTATGTTGATTCATCTATTCCAGATTGTATAAAAGTAACGCGTATCTAAATGAACATCTGGCCATATTTCACAGTCAGTATATAGTAGATTGTCTACAGAACGGAGATACTAGAAATATCGTACTGGGCAGATATTTTCTTCCACCTTTACCTCTTCAACATTGTAAGTGACTTGGACATTCTTTAAATAACTAGTCCATTTAGGCAATGAAACTTTGTATGTGTAAAATAGTAAGTTGTCAATATTAAAATCAAAATGTATTTGGAAATGAAATGAATGGAGTTTTACATCTGACTTTTCTGCACCATTTTTGTTAATGAAACAGGCAACGCTATGCTGGGTGCAATGAGGGAAATTTGGAAAATGTATTTGGAGTAAATGTTTTGAATGGATCTCAGATGAACACAGCTAGATGTAGTTTTGTAAATAGAAGAAAACCTTCCATTATAATTTCTTTAGCCATCTGAGAAAGTAATGTACAATACAAAGACTCTTGATTTTCTATTTATTTTGTAATATATTTTAGTTATGAAGAAACAGATGAAATTTGATTGGAAAGATAAGAAAGATAAGAAAGAAATCAACAACAAGGTTTGTTTTGATTCTATTAAATGTTTGGTAGGGCTATATCGCAACTTGTCAAATCAAATTTCTTAGTGGTATCAAGTGTTTTTGAAGGGTGTGCGTATTTTCACAAAATTAACTCCCAATTTGTCTTATAATTTGACCGATCCTTTTAATATTACAGTCAAATATGGCAAAGAAAAATACAGAGAAAGCAAGTGGAACTAACTCTTCACCTTCTAAACACTATCAGACAACAAATAAAACACAGACACCTGTTTCAACAAGAACGAGGTCTACAGTACCTTCACTACATAAACAAACAGGTATTTATCAATTACTAGAGACATCACTTTTCATAGGTTTCTATTTATAGATCTAAGGATGATGAATGAAACTTATTAACTATGTGGACTCTCTGAAGAGATTGCTGAATCCCTTACCATCCTATTGGCTTATGTGGAATTTTTCATGTCTAAGTAATGGCTGTTGTCTGTTTCGTCAGAACTTTTCAGCCTGGCTTTTAGTGGTGACTATTTTTCATTTTACCTTGCCGTGGAGGTTTCCAAAGACAATTTTCAGAAAAGTAGGACTCAAAACTCCGTTCATTTCATTTTCAAAGATAGTTTTGATATAGTGACATGCCTGTTTTCTGTCGTCCATTTTATGAAGTTTTTCTTTCATATTTTGTTTTATATCTTATAGAATACAGTAATATAAGACATATTGATGATTTACCCAAGGTGAAAGGAAAGTTGATAGATTTTGTACCTGGTCAAAATGGGTGTGAAGTTTTTATGAAAAATTCATGACAACTTGTTTACAACTCTACAGCAGGGGTTATCAATCTGGGGGTAATATGGACATTATTGGAGGTAAAGTTTGAGAGAATTTTAAATGTTGACAAGTTGATAATATGGACAATATTTTGATTAAAGAGACGTCTGATTTCTTATTTCGTTATTTGACAATTGTAAATATATATGTTAAATCTTAAGATATGTAAAAATCTTCAACAACAAAAATTGTTTGAAAAATATATTTGTAGATTATTTTACAATTGTAAATCACAAGTTGTTGAAAATGTAGATTGTTAAAAAAATGTAAATAATTGTTATTGTTACTTGTTTTACAATAAATTAATAAACCAACCATAAGTTGGAATTTTTCACCTCTGAAGTATAGTCAGCACAAAACACTTCTGGATGGAGTTTAAGTCACAATATTTGGAATAATGAGAAATGATGACTTATTCAAGGTCCCCATATTTTCACACGACCAAGATTAGAACCAATAACCACCATGTTCAACATAACCAAGCAAATGACATTCAACACTCTAAGCGACTATGCCACAGCCCATAATTAGACCTAGAACTTAAACAGTGATAAATACAAATCCAGCTTTTTATAAATTTATTCAAGATTATAAATATTAAGTATAATTCATACAAAATTTAATAAAATCAGCACTTTTAATAGATAAAGCTATAAATTATAACATTGCATATTGTGCTGTTGGCTGGCTTGATTGTCAATCAATTTTATTAAAATACAGGGCTCCATTACACAAAACATCTTACTATGAATTCAGTTGAAAGTATGGTCTTCTCAACAACAAATTCTTATTGTAAGAAAGGAGCTCTTATCTAGATATTTTGTGTTCAGTTCTTTTGGGTAATTTACCAGCATTTTTTATTTGATCAAGTTAAACACATAATATCAAGAGTTCTAGATTTAGGTGTCCGTCAATTGAACAAACATAGACTTATAAGCTGTGATAAACATAAACATATTGATTTAATCATTCTTTCATTAACAAATTAATTATCTTCTTTCCATTGATCTTTTTTTGATTGACTGGTAATAAATAGATAAAGCAATTAAACAAAATAAATTACTTTCTAGTAGAATTATTAAACTTTGGAATGATCCAGTATAAAAGTGGAATGATGTAAAATCTTGTCATATCCTGTATGATAAAAGGAATGTGTCCACCATGGGAATGATTTTGAATTCGAGATAAACATATTTTGAATTAATCAAACTTGTTCGAAACAGGCCCATAACTAGAGCCCAGGGTCTCAGGAAGGGTAACATTTTTTGAAGGGGGGCTCAACTATAGTGACTCAACAAGTCATTAAGACATCTCAATTTTTCAGGGGGGCCAAAAGCCCCCCACCGCCCCCCCCCTGGCCCCCTCTAGTTATGAGCTTGGTTCAAAAGCAATACACTTAATTTCATTGAGAAGTTTTGTTAATTTTAACAGTTTTTTGGTTTGATATAATGCTAAATATACAAAATAATACAATGTAAAAATTAAAAACAGGAATGTGTTAAAAGATTTAAAATATTTCTAATTCTTACTAAATATAAAATTATAACTTTTAACATAACAATATCTGAATATAAGAAAAAATATATAATCTGTTAAAATAGGGATTAGAAATACTAAACAGATTGTAAACAGGTTACTTTTTTAAGGTGTATTGGGGACACTATATCAGTCTTCCAACTACACACAAAAAATTAAGAAAACTTCTTTACAATCCCTTCAGATTTAAAATATTATAAATAATAAAATATAAATTAACTAACATATAAAATTTTGGCCATATTTCACAGTAACTTCAAAATAATTTCAGATATCAGGAAAGAATATTCTGTCCATAGCGTATGCTTGCATCGCATTTTCAACATTTCACTCACTGTGAACCAAGGTTCTAAACATCACATACAAATCTTACAATTATTTCATGTAAGACATCAAAATGTTGATCCAGATGAGAAAACAGGATGCTAAACTGTGACATGGTAAACCTGTCTCCTTTCAGAGAGTCCACATAGCTATGATTTATTTATCTAAAATGAAGTTTGGGTGAAACAGGTGCTAGATTATTCTGCGTGAACTCACTATAGTTCAAACCATGCCCCAATATCAGTAAATAGAATTCTGTATCAGAGATGTACATGAAATATCATCAGACCCAATGAACAGACGATGGCCATTACTTAAAAATAATTCTTGTAGGCTATGCATTACAAATATTCAGATTAAAAGTTGGGAATTAAAACGTGAGGTAGTCAAAGCAAAGGCAGGGTGCTTAAAATAATTTCAAAAACATTTCCGGAGGGATAGAATAAATTTGATTGGCTAAAA